GATTTGTATAATAGTACAGCGGGTGGTTGTATAACAGGCGGCATATTGGCTGCAAAAGCAGGTCCTCAGGCTGTTTTATTTGGTTGTGCAGGGTTTGCTGCTTTTTCAACTGCAATTGATTATTATATGAGAAGAGAATAAAAATCATATATACACATATATTATATTATAGACAATAAAGTAATAAATTATGTAAATATAGAAAAAAAATTATATAATATTTTCATTAATTCATCATTCAATCATTGTAAAACTAATGTCATGTTTATAAATATATATTTTATAAATTAAATAAAAAAATCAAAATAATTAAGTGATTAATATAAAAATACACAAACACAATAAATTAAAAGTATCTTTTTGAAATATCAAAATGAATTTGAAACCACACACATATGGATAATAATCTTTATCAACCAAATTATGGAATTCCTCAATATTTAAAAACTTTTCAATGGAATACCAGAGCTGATAAATCACTTTCAGCAATACCTGAAAAATTGAAAGAAGTTAGTCTATGTTGTATATTTATGTGTAGTTTGTATAAATATTAATAATAGTGTTATTACTATTGTTTTATTATATATTATTTTAGGAAATAACAACAATTGAGGATCTGATTAAAGCAAAATCTGCTCACTATAATCAAATTAAAGAAAATTTACAAGTACTGGAATGAAAAAACACATGTATTTATATTGTTTGGTTGATTAAATATATAAAATATAAAAGATATATTTTTAATCAATTAAATTTATTTCAATAATTAAATTATTAGAGGAAATTTTGTAGTTTGTTATTTGTTAAAAAAGAACATTTTGTTTTAGATTCTGAATACTTGGAAAGTAATACTTTTGTGGATGTTGGTAGCATTTAATGATGTGTTAAATCAAAAACTTTTTATATTAAATTATTATCATTTAGAAATCTTTATAAAGAATGGTACTCTAAATATGAAACTATTACTCAAATGATTGTACTGCAATCTTCTCAGTAAGTCAAGAACATATTATGTTTTAAAATACGTTATTCTATAAAATATATATTATATGACCAATTAAATTTTTTACATTTATAAATATTATGTAGAAAAATTGCAGAAGATAGTGATTATGGATTGTTTACAAAAGGGTTAGTGAAGAGTTTGCAAATAAATGTAGAGAAGAAAAGTTTATCATATGAGATTTCAAATATAATGAAGATGAGATGGCTAATCATCATAAAGAATTTTGGGAAGTTGGAGCTACAGAAAAAGAATTATGGGTAAATTCTCCCCTTCAATATAAATTTATTAATTATGTTAATTAATTTTACAAAAAATTAAATTATAATACATATATTGTTAGACATCATTATTAAGATTGGCAACTATGAATTTTGGAGAAGTATTTGTATCATGGGTTCACTTGAAAATATTAAGAGTTTATGTTGAATCTGTATTACGTTATGGATTACCACCTGATTTCATGTCAGCTATAATAAAGGTATTA